ATTTTAGAGTTAGAGAGAGCGGTAACTTGTACCAACGAATCAGATTTGGAGAAACCCAGAGGTGACGTCCCACATGCTACGCTACGAGTAGTTATTTTTCTGGCTTGGGTAGAAGATGAGTGCTCAATAAAACGGCACTCATCAAACCTAGACTTAATTAGCTCAAACTTCTCCCACAACTAGCCGAGATTTCTACTCCATTCCGAGAAACCATTTCGCGTCTTCGTGAAAAGTTAGTAAAAATCAATGTTCCGCTGCCTACAGTCAAGACATGACCATCTTAAGCCTTTGGAAGGGTCAGCGATTGCTTCAGCAGCACCGCCGAAAATACCGGCACACTTTGCATGACCAAAGCGCTCGCAGAGCCAACAAGAAACGAATCTATCCGATTCCGGGCCTGTTTTTGCACGACTTGGTGTACATAAGCACTCCATGTCAAGCCAACGAAAAGAAAGAAGTAAATTATTAGGGCAAAAAAGAAAAAAAATTCAAAAGAATCCATTATCCTAAATTTATCTACAAATTTAAGAAATTTAATAAAACTTCTCCGTTACGTTGTCACTGTAACAAGAAAGCAAAACCAAACTGGAAGCACAAAAAAACTGAGAATACAAATCAGATAAATTTTCTCTAAAATTTTTGTTAAATTAACGTAATATCTACACCACTGAAGCAATGGTAAACAAGCCAAGAGAAAAGCTATTCACACCAAAGTAAGAAAATAAAAAAGACTCAAAAGAAAAAACTAGAAAAGACTCGAAGGAGATTTACTATTCCAATAACAAGTGCTAATCGCAAGAACCAAAATGAAAATCACAAAAATTTTTAATGTAATTGATGTATTCTTACACTTTACACGTTCCAATCTTTTATACTTAAACCCAGTTTTAAACGCGTATAAAACGTAAACAAAAAAAATTTTAACAATAAAGCTAACAAAAGCGTACGATCTCGCGCGCGTCAGTTGCCAGACTGATCTCAAAAAATCTTCCTTTAACCTATCAGGGTTAATTTCGCGGCAGACTCCTTCTAACTCTAATTTTTTGTAAATTCTTCCAAAGAACTTTAGAATGAAGTTTTTCACATCAAATTCCTTACAGTAGTAATGTTTCGCATGTCAAGTAATGTTATGCACGCTATTCCTAAGCCTTCCGAAAACTTCCCAATTACAAGCATTCGGCAAACTCGTTCAATGTTTATATCCCCCGTTCCGAATACTAATAGCTCAAAGCAAAACCGAAGCAGCTTAGAAGGCCCAACCTTACAAGTCTACATGGGAACTGGGCATCAAATAATACCGACAGATGACGCACTATATAAGGCAATTTTTCGTTGGCAACAGCAAAGTTCAAGACGGTACTCTAACAAATTGAAAAAGAAGAAGCTATTAACCTTTGTATATTAACGGACTTAAAATCTTTAGAGGTAAATATAAGCCGCTCGCCAGTATTGCAATTGATGGGGATATTCAAGCAGACAAGCATATATTCCTGATCGGATATCCCACCTAAGGGAAACTGATCATAGTGAATATATAAGGAGCTGTCAGTGACACAAAGAAAATCTAACAAAGCCGGTCTGCAAAGAGGAACATAACGAGCTAGGCTTGAGATGTCCAATTTCAACCCCAATCAATCAAATCATGTAACTGCCTGGCACGTACATCATTCACAAACATATCAAGATTAAAATCCCCACAGAATATTATATTATTCACACGCAAGAGATACCTCGTCCAACGCACCCAAAACTGCGCAGAAAATCTTACACTTTAGATCATACAACCAGCTAACAATTCATTTGGGATTGTTATCACTTATTTCAATACCAAGGTACTCGACTACATTGTCCTCATCACACTTCAACATAATCTTAGAATTCAAACCCGGTTTAATATAGAAGGCGATAACACCGCCAAGATCAGTGTAAATTCTATCATGACGGACAAAATAATAACTGTAAACCGTATTTCAGACATACAAATAAAATCTATCTCTAAAGAAATCAGCAAACAGTCAATCTTAGACTTATTAACACGCCGCATATTAAGACCACGTATTTAAAATCTTTATGCTTTCTACTAACAATCTTCAAGACTATTTCCACATTAACACCACTGTTATGAAAGTTAAGACTATCAAAATAACCAACTTTTTGGTTCAATATTTTCAGTTTGTTTAGACATACTGGACAATTCTTACTTTTAACATACATACTTATATGCATAACAGAACCCATATTCACTTAAACACACAGAATTTTATGTGCTTCTGCTTTGCAAGCGTTTGAAAGAGCAAGCATACAAATGGCTGCTAATTAACAGCGTTATTACTGTAATTCATAACAGATACATAAAATTTCCAAATCTCAATTTGGAACAAAATGTTGAAAAATCTATGTATTTTGTTCTCTCATAATATCTCATCCTTAACTATATACAGCGTAAGAGAAACATTTTTCCCCTTTATTAATAGGTCATTGGTAAATTTCGCCTCTGAAATACACCACCGCATATGCTCTTTCTTTTAAGTACATATTTATATCAAAATTTTATTTTTAAAGTGCTTGTTCTTCCGTTAGACGCCTTTTGTTTGTTTTAATGTACATTTTAATATCCTTAACCAAAAAATTCGGGGGAAGCGAAGCTTTTCTAATACTAAGCTCATTATAAATTGTATATATTTCTCGTATTAGTCTTAAATTGCTTGCATCGTCCTCTATTCTGCACTAAAATTCATTATTTATTGATGCTCGGCAGCACGTATAGTTGTCGCAATACGTATTGAAGAAGTTTTAAGGCAGGGGGTGTATGTCCACAATCAGCGATTTGGTAATATGTATACTATATTTTTGCCTGCTATATTTTTTACCATCGCAGGCAATATGTTCACGCCGTTCTTGATAAGACTAATGTAGATCACGTATAAAAATATTAATTTAACAACAATGTAAGAACGAAAATAGTCTAAAAAAGGAATGCCGATAGTTGCAATTTTAATAACCTCCAATGCACTACAAAATTTAGTTTGATTTTTCAATATAATCAAGGAATTAATCAAAAACTAATTAAAATAAACGATATCTGAAGGAATGTTGTTTCGTTTTATTTGTCTGAAAGTAAAATGGAAATTAAATTATTTGAGGATTCGTACACTTTTTAAGTGACGTAGTAGCTAGGATTGATTGCTTTGGCAAGTCACCATTCATGTTTATACTTTAATCTGGATTATAGCTGTGCAGCTAGTCTAGCGCAACTTTTTGCAGTCCATGAAAACTATTTTCTTCCTAAAAAACTTGGAACATTTAACAATCATAAATTCGATTTTTCTTTCCAAATAAAAAGAACTAAGAAAGTTACATTCAGCGGAGGCTGAATTTCGCCGCCCACTACCAACTTATTCACATTCTACTCCCTGAATTCTTTTATTTGGTACCCATATCGTTGGTATTAAGAAAAAATTGATCCACCAGTTCGCGGTGTCTACCGTATACCTTTTAGAATCAACCCACTTTTAGGCAGATAATATATTTTCATTTAAAAAATGAACAAAATAGTTTTAAGCATTCTGCCTCGTTTGCGTTATGACAAGTAAGCATAAAACATCAAAAAAATGAAAAAAGGTAATTTAATCACTTGCAACCTTGTGTGGACATGGCCGATTTTTTCCATTTTTGCACCTGAGAAATAGAGCGTTTTGTAAAGTAATTGTGGAAAATTTCAGCCTTTTAACTTTAGTAATTTTCAAAACGAGCAAAACGGAGTTGCGTTCAGTTTATGTTCCACTGCGCGCTTGTGCTGCATTCAATTTGGCCCATGTTCAATACCAACCTGCCTGCAGAAACTTCCAACGTATCTTCATTTTTGCGGCGAGGAGAGTGCCAGCAACACACCACAAAGACGGATAGACATGACTAAATCAACTGCGAGTTTCACGCTGATCAACAATATATATACTTTACACAGTCTCCGAAGTATTCTTTTGAGTGTTACATACATTACGGAACAAAACAAAATGAGTACACCCCCATTTTATAGCGGTGGGTACAGTAAATTAATACATACTGTTTTAAAAACTGAAATAAAGAACTTTTATTTGCTATCAATGTTGGATGAATTAATGTTTTACTACTTACCTATCTTTCGCTGACATGAAATTATTCAGTCACGTTTCTGCTTTGGATATTCTCTCAAAGAAATGTATCGAAATGAGCATTCTCCTGATGGATAAGTTCTACACCTATCTCGATTTATACGAGAGATTAGTTCCTTGTTAAATCGTTCAAATTGCAATAGTTGTTCTTACAAATGGAAAAGCTGGCAACAGTTGAGTGCAATGAAATTGTATATATTACAAGATGAAATATGGCAAATAATTTGAACGCGCATAAATCCATCATAAATAAAAAACGTATGCAAAATTTTTAAAAAATAATTCTAAATCTTCAAATATGTTTAAACCATTCGCTTCTTTAATATGGCCTTTGCATGTGACATTATACGTTGTGTATTTCCGGACTGATAGCCCGCTGCTTTTAAAGTGAAATTATTTAAAAAAATACCGTGTAAATTGGAGGATTAGTGTGTTTTTAGCCATTTCCATCTACAACTGTGTATACCGCGAATAGATTTATGAGCGCACGCAAATGTGTATTCTAAAGTTAGAACGTGCAAAAAGCTCCACTAAATTCTTTTTTAGCACTGTAGTTATTACGTTACATACTAAGCGATCTGAGATGGTCGTGTGCAATTTTGGTTTTATATTAGTACTGAAAATAAAGGTATAAAAGTTAAAGGAATATGTGAAGATTTCGGAAAATATAATTACCAACAAAAAATTTAACATTCTTTAGTTTGACAAAGCAATAAAATTGAAAGTAAATTTACTCTATAAATAGAGCGAAAATAAAAAAAAGTAAGTACGATATATGCGCCACCTATTACTTTACCTGAAAATATACTAATGCTTAGTTTTTAGACAGACAACTAGCGCATACATTTCGTGTATCCACATTTTTATGACATTAAAGTAAATTGAAAGCCAATTAGTATAATTGTCGGGTGCTAGAAAACATATGGGTAACACGACAGTGCAATTTTATTAAACTATACACAATAAACGTTAGCAACAGTCGATAATAATTAGTAAAACTAGCGCGACTAGAAAGCTATATAAATTAACGGCAACGAAACACGAAACGAAAACATCGAAGATGTACATTCCATACATTTTTTTGGTATATAACTTTCGTTAGGCGACTGCATTATTTTAACTTCGTCAATGAATGGGATAACGAATAAACACCAAAATGAAATTATGTATGGGAAACGATTTGTACATTTTTCGGTTGGACATTTTAATTAATAATTTTACTTATATCAATATCGACGTGCGATGCATAGGTAGTGTTCATTATCTTTAGCTTACCTTTCGTGAGACGGGAACTTTTTGCGTATATATCCAAGGAGTTTGTGTATATTTTTACTGTTCTGATAGAAATCGTACCAGGTTGTCTCCGAACTTTTCAATTTCGGTCACTAAATTGTGTTGAAACAAATTTCGATGAATTATAACAGGTAAGTCATATATATATCACATCCTTTAGCGACATGTATACATTCATGGCATACGGTGACCGCATTGTATAATCCTATAAACGCATCTAAAATACTTTTGCTCCACATAACCGTAGCCCCATATCGAGCCGTAGCGCAATATTTAAGCTCATTCAATGTGCTATTAATCATGCTGTTGACAACACTTTCGGCTTTTATGCAAATGAATACCCGCCTTCGGGTTAAGGGCGTACATTTATCCTCTAGTTTGCAACACCTAGAAATAATTCAATAATTCAATTCAAAGTTGGTTGAAATTGAAACTAGCTGAAATAGTTAAGTGGTGTATGTCAGCCTCCGTGTACAAAACGTATAGAGAAGTGAGTCAGACCCTGGTGTAGCTCTGTGTTAATATGGAACTATTTTTGATGAATACGACATATTATTTTTTTTTTTTGGATATTAGAAATTTATTTAAATAACACTGAGATAATGTTGGGAAAAAAATATAGTGAAATTGATAAATAATCATTCCAATAGAATTGTCTGAAAAAAGATTTGTAAACAATAATTAGATGAAGAGTTTTCTTGAGATCTGACAAACGAAAATATCAATCAGGAAGAAATATTGTTATTTGCTGATTGATGATTATTTTACATTTTACGCTGAATTGTGATAAAAACCCCTGTGAAAGTGAGTAAAAGTGATACCGTAATAGCACATTGATAATTGAAATTCAAACTTCAATACGAAATCATTTTAAAAGGCAAAACAAAAATAAAACAAGTAACTGTTCGCGCAACGTAGCTGAAAGATAAAGTGCATTATATCCAAAGAAGGAAACGATAACTGAAATATATGAAAAAGTAAAACACCGCAATTTGGGAAAAGGAACAACTCTTTCCACTGCGGAGTCTATTTCACTCAAGTACATCACTACATACTCTGACTCTGTTCCATTTCATAATTTAATTTTTTATCATCTTTAAGTCTACGAAATTCAATCTGCTAAATAGGGTTTTGTCACAAGGCCGCACTATCTCTCTCGAAAGTAGTAATATTAACATCCCCAGGGCTAGAGCTTACATTAGAAGTGAGTATTGTAAAGCTACAGAAGTCATACGCTTCAATAAATTTGACCAAACTTTAACTCTCGTGTGCCTTTGGACACAGTTTTGGTTTTCCGGGTATGTTTTATATTGACACATCTGTTTGGAAAGCACTAACTTCCCGATCAAACCGTGGGTCGAGCCAACTTTACAATGGCGCAAATGTTGACGTTTTGGGCACAAGGATAAAGTATGATTGCGCCAAAAGTCGCCTTCCTCACTACCTGACTTTTACTGAGAAAGTATTTTACCTTACGTTCAGGGAACGAGAGGTATTTATGTCTTTAATGCGGCGAGACAAAACAAATTGAATGCTTTTAGAATATACAGGTGGGCACTTATGCGGTCGGATTTAGTATTAATAAGGAAACAAAACCCTTCCTTACAGACTTTCATCAAATAATAACATTATATACCAAATGTAACCCCTTCTTTACTAAGGCCCAAACAAAGAATTCTGTGTTCACGTTGGACCCTATTTACACATTTCAGTGAACTTTAAGTTGTTGGTTTGCTGAGTAAAAGAAGCAGAAGAGATAACGTTGGTATCTAGTTTACAACAAAGAAAAGCAATATGCGTGTGATGTGAGTATTTCAATGTATCTATTAATTAGATATTATTGATTTTAACAAATCTAATATATCCCCATTATTTAGGCTGAAAGAATCTGGAAACTGCTTTAATTGAAAAAGCAAGCTGAAGGAATTTAAGTCAAACGATTCAAATATTTCACATTAACATAAATTATAACAAGATTTGGTTGCAGAATGTATAAAAGAACAACTATGCTAGCTTTGACTAAATAAGAATATTCACATCTGCCTGCTTTTTGAGTTTTGACCATAACGAAATATGTCCATTAACATTGTCGCCGTTGTAAGCGCAGAGAGTAGCGCTGCAGCAATTGTAATGAAGAAAATTATTAATGGCTTACTAACTTCCTGACTGAAAATGAATTCAATTAGGGACATTAGAATGAACTTCTTACCCTAATACATCTATCTCTGCATATATATATGTTTACTTTTCTAATTCGTCGGTTTTCCTAGCAGAAGCAATGTCAAAAATTGTGTTGTCAAAGCCAATATAGAAAGCCAAGTTGACCGGATAACCGTATTTATTTGAAGGCGACCTAAATTGCTGATAAAATTTTCGTTTGTGTCAAATGGGAAATTGTTTAAGAGCGTTTATGATAATTATATTTTATATTTACAAAGATATAAGGCGTTAATTTAATATTTTGAATTTGTTCCTAATAAGGAAATTTGCGAGTTTGTTTCTGGTCAGAACAATTAATGACTTTACGTTGTGTCTTTTTATACCCTACCCTACTTATGGTACAGGGTATATTAACTTAGTGTGGTCGTAAGTAATACGCAGAAACGCTTAAGATGGGCACGCCTTTGATTATACAGATCGATTCGGAATCATAATCTGAAAAACTTGTCTGTCTGTATATCCGTGTGCCCGTGTGATGTCTGTCCATGTAAATTTGTGTTCATGCTACAGATCGCAATTTTTGAAATATTTTGATGAAGTTTGGTACTGTAACATGTTTTATAGGGCCACATTCTGAAAAATCGTTATATAGAAAAAAATTTTAATTTTCAAAATTTGTCGGCAAAAGTAGTATACAAAACTGGAGTTCATAGGACAAAAAGGTATAATTTTCAATGTTTCACGATGAAAATTATATTACATTAGTATTGTAAGATAGAAGAATTGACTGCACCAAATTTGGACCATCCCGGCCTATATTTTGGATCCTACCATAACAAGAAATTTTATAAAAATTGATCCCTTAATCCATAATATTATAGCAAGTTCATGCAAAAATGAACTCTATAAAATTTAGATCATCTATCCCTAGTTTTGGATCCTGCCCTATGTGAGGATAAAACTAGTATTACATTAGCGTTTTGGACCCACTTCCCCATAAATACGCAAATGAAAAATATGTCTTTACATAGAACAACTTAAAATTTTTGTCTTTGTGTTCCAGAATAAAAATAAGAATTGTATTAAATAATACGGTGTAAGATATTTGATTGTCGGCCTTGTCCGACTAATGATGTTCTCACTTGTTGTTATAATCGGAATTGATATGAACATTCATGGGTGAGACGCTTTTCTCTGATTTTAATAAAGCTAATTTGTTAAGGTAACCTTTGCTCGTCTTGTTAAAGGACATTATTTCTCGAGTAGGCTTAAATAAACTTCATGGTCAACGATGATTAAGTTCATGATACCATTAACAACTTCGATGTGATCCAGCCTATCTAATTCGATTACATTGAAAAATTTCGCATTAGCAAGCAATACATGTATTCTATTCAATTTCAAACTCTATCCGTTTTTAGGTTGTTTGTTAAATGAAGTTTATTACATAAAATTTGTTTCGTTTTAAATGAACCTTGCACGTCTTATCCATTCAGTGACACGCAAAGCATATTCCTGCATTTGTACAAGTTATGACTTTTCGGGTGGTCAAATATTTTTTAACCGATGTGTTCTATTGCCTAAGCCGTCAGCATTCCACGTCAGCGAATCACAGGTGATTCGTTTTACCCTTTTCTTTGCCAGCATATAATATAGGTTCTCAAGTTGCAGACCTTTCCAAAAATTCGGTTATTATTTTTACTTTTCCTACCTAAACGCCAAGTCACCAAGGAGACCGATAGCTTTTATGACTTCCATTATGACGTTTTCCAACCGTAACTTTGAGATGCTCATTTAAAAATATGACAATATCAGCCATTTTTGCGGAGGGGCTTTCTAAAAACTATTTTTCTTTCTGTATGAAATTGGAGGCATACTGTTCCATAAATTAGGTGCATACTACTATCTTCTTTTTGTGGTATTCTGACTTGTCCACTAAACACAGCTCCTTCTCTAGGAATAAAGCCACATCATTATTGCTTAACGCCGCATATGTTGGCGGACGTGAAATAACTGTGTATTCCGCTTCACAGAGTACAATTTTTAGTGCTGTGGTGAAACAATACGATGCACTGGCAGCGTCAAAAACATTTTTGATCAATGGTACCAGTATTTCTCACTCCCTCTTTGTGCGGTTACCATCGGTTAAATATCCGTCTGATTACTTATTGTTTTGTGCTAACATGATGAAGTTCATGGATTTATATTCCTTTTCTAGTATATTCGCTCTAAAATTGGTACCGTTCTCGATAAGTTTCTTTAAACATATATGAAGGAGCTCGCCTCTAAGTTGCGCTGTACGAATCTTTCACATACATACATTAGTTAGTTTAATTCCGCCTAAGTGACTTAAGGCACTCTTGAGAAAGATTGTGTTTACGACAAGTTATTTACAATTCAAATTCTGCATTCTTCTCTGTGAACCTTCTTCTATATGCGTATTCACTGCAACAATCTTTCGTTCTATGCCGTGGCGCTTCTGCAAAGGGGTAAATCTAGTCGCAGCATATTACAATATCCAGTGCCCATTTATCTAGGTTGATTTGAAAATTTTTCACAATTTCTCTCCTGTTACGTATCTCCAGCGTAAAGCCTATCGAGACGTTCATAACTTCCACAAGTTCGCTGCCATTTCGCTTAGGTTTTCAGCATCCCTTTTCGTTTCTTTTTTTGACTAAAAAGCGGGTTAAGAAAGCAAGCTTTGTTTGCTTTGGGATACTACGATTATTACAAATGTTAGCGATGATTGAGAAGACGATACCTACAATCGATATGTGTAGGGTTGACAATATAGGCTGTACAAAAAATATTTCTTAATAAGCTTTTTTTTTGAAGCACTTATTGGAGTATTAAATTGAAGCTTAGGACGCTCAAGACTTTAATGCATACGAAATGTTTTCATAGAATATTAAATAAGTAGTAATAAAAATAAAGAGTGCCAAGTTGAAATTAAGATTTGGTAATAAAGTTG